TGGAATGAGAAAAGAGGAAGTGGAATCGATGATGATGATGATGATGATGATGACGTGAGATTTCGATGGAGTTTTAGTGAGAGGGTATAAAAGTTTTATAGATGAGATTTTTTTTTAATTGAACAGTGTTAGTTGGGGAATGGTTATATGGAGATTTCCTTTCGTCAGTTTTCTTACGGGTGTTGATATGGATCAAGATGATATTCCAGAGAAGGCGTTGCTCAAGGATAATTTTGAAGGAGAAGCTATACTGTGTGAGGGGATTGTTATCTATAATTAGTAAGTCTTTATGATAGGGACTCCGAGCTATTTTCTCTATTCTTCGCAATCAGTGATGAGAAAAATACGGGGCGATGCTATGTTGGAAGAAAGTTCGAAAAAAAACTCGATCTCCGAATCGGGGTTTGAAGTAACATTGTGAGATTTGTGAAAGATGGGAAATTTTCAGATTGTTCTTACCTATTATATCTAGATGAAAACAAGAGGTCTGGAGATGGAGATGGTGTAGAGACCGAGATGAAAATCTCTTTTTGTGATTGATGTTATGTATGTTGGGATACAAATTATAATATAAATATTGGTTCTTTACAGTGAAGTGAATGTTAACAATCTGGAGTAAATCATCTGAACGTGAAAGATAACGGACTGATGTGAGAATATTTCAAGCCTACGAAAGACTTTCGATTTTCGGTTAAATTCCTTATATTGAATTGCGAAGCTGAATAAGTGTCTTCAAAATACCAAGTAGCAATAAAGTCATAAGCTATATCGTCAGAAATTGAGAAGTCAAGAGTCGAATCTCAAATATGAGTTTGAAAACATTCACAAAAGAGATTTCTATGTTGCGGAGAGTATTTACTTCTATTTTGATTTCAATACAAAGCTGCGGGTCTCTCTTGCTCGTAGACGGTGATTATATTTGGTTGTTTTAGAAGGGGGAAGAAACTCTCTGTCTGTAGAATTAATATTCTGAGGGAATAATGTGGATGAATGGGCGTGTAGAGAAGCTTGATCATATTGTTTAGACGATCTCAATAACTTAACCGAGGGGTAATGTCCATACATACTAGACCCCACCAAATAAGTAATAAAATTATTTAATAAGAAATAAGAGATATACATAGATTGGTGTTATAATATAGATCGCAAGACTTGCGTAGATATTTAATATCAAGTATTTGGTCAACAGTCACTCTTAGTCTAATCGTCGCTATTCCCGACGATTGGAATGGTCAACAGTCGTCTTTCTGCACTATATGCAAAACTAAATTGACAATGTTTTTCAAACACCTCAAGTGAGAGATAGAGACTGCAATTAATGCTCATATCAGTGGTCTTAGCCTTATTGAACGAGTATCTGAGGAAAACTGACTCAGGTTGTTGAGATACATGGAGGGAGAGGAAGCAATGCATGGGAGAAAACTATGAGTCACTTCGGTGACATATCATACCGACGACTGCGTTATGACAGCCGATTGGCTTGAGACAGGAAACAGATTTTATATCATAGCGGTAAGCTTGACATTGTTCATCACTATCTGGGGAGCCAGGCTGTCATGAATATTGATTTGTTTTAACCGATACTTCGAAAAGAGAAAATGCCTTGGGCGGTCCCAATTTATACTCCAAACCACCGTGCAGACGACCTTCAAAGAAACAGATAAACAGCATGCTCCAAACTTCCATCATCCTTCAGTTATCTCTTATTCGCCAACATCTCAAGATAGTTATGCTAAAAGAATGCCTTTGAACAGCATACACCAAGAAAATACTGTAGTTCTTGAAGTCCATTCAATGGCCACTAAGTGTTTACATCCCCATCAACCCTCTGGTTTTCTTTCAAGATCAAGGTATTATGCTCGAACATTTTCGCAAATTGAACTGAGGGGTGACTGATACCTCCTTGGTTTTCCATGACTGTGATTAAAATTCTATAAACACCTCCGCGGCAGGAGAAATTATGTTTGCGAGCCAGCAGCTCAGCCTTTGATAAGAATGGCCACAGGTAAGCTTCGAGGTGTTGCTCTCTGGCCAATCGAAATGCTGAATGAACCCGAATCTCAAATTCGGCAGCGTTTAGTATCGTGTCCATCTCACCAGAAATCTGGAAGAATTCTTCTCTTCTTCGGTCGCCGAGAATTCGAACGAAAGATAACTGACCACTACCACATCCGATAGGACACTCATGATGTTCAATCCCATGAAACTGTTTCAAGTAAGATTCTCTGCCATATTTTCCCACATTCAAAGGGCAATATGAAAGGGTGATTGCTTCAAATTGTGCGAGAGGCCTGGTAAGCCGGACCTCGATTTTTCTCTCGAAAAGATTAGCGGAACAGATAGCGTTGGGATAGCAACTATGAGCGAAAGGAATACCATGGGTAGGCACGACAAATCCGCTGTTGTTTGTAACAAGTGATGGGTGGCGTAGAGCATTCCTGGTAAAACTGTCGTAAAAATTCACGCCCGGTGGCTCTAGGTGAGAAAGCGCATCTACAGGGAGATTTAACAATGAGAGACCACGGAGAACAGCAGCCTCCGGTGGGAACGTATTGTCAGATGTCGTATAATTGTCAGGGTCACCAGCTACTGAAGGCAGCCAGAATAATACCGTGTCTTGATGTACGACTGTACCAGCAGGCGAGGCAACCGCAACTCTAGCCCAAGGTCTTCCTGTAGGAAAGACGTCACCTACCACGCCTGGTTGATATTTTCCGATAAACATTTGAATTTTGAATTGAGAATTGGTTGAGAGAACGGAAGATTATTTTGTTGAACATTTGTAACTTGCTTTGACTCATCGAGAACGAAAAAGAGAGAGTGAAATTTCCTAAAAGGTATAGCAAGAAGTAGTTACGCGATAGGAAGAGGTATAGAATGAATCATACCGAGAAAGAAGTGCTGAATGAGTTTTCAAAATTGAGTTCATTGATTATTCTAGATTTAAAGCATAATTTCAGCGAATTCGTCCAATCCTCTCGGACTGTTCAAGCATTCAGAGTACTGAATTCGATGAGATTATCATAACCTGTAATCATCAAGAACGACGAGTTCACCTGGAGTACTACAACAACCAAGAGAATTAGAAGAACATAGATCGTTACATTCACTCAGAGTATCAGAGTTCAAATGGAATCTCAACTGAAAAACATAGGTAACAATCAACCATGTCAAACGACAATTGCCTCTTATCAGACACATTCGAAATGAGTTTCCATCCAGGGTACCAGATACCTCCCTCATTCTTTCCCAATTCAGAAATGAGATAATCTTTTCAGTCTACTACTTTGTCAAGTTTAAGACACGTCTTGATTGTCCTTGTCTAATCGAATCAATTTATCTCACCCTGACTGAAAATTAAACAACGGAAGAGGAGTTTATGATCCTTTATTGAGACTGCCAAAATTTTATCATCTCAGGGGCGAAGCGGGAGGGGGGCACCTGGGAAGACGGGCTCAACTAAAGCACTAACAAACACATATAATACGACTCAAACACAAATGGAACGAATAGGGCTTATTGCAGATCACACCGCAAATATCATCGATTTCTAGATACTTTTCTATGAATCCCGTCCTCTAACTGAGATCTCCCACCAAAACCATCGGTAACATCACACTCTCAAGCACCCATCCAATCCCATTCATTTCCAGCAACTCGCCATATCAAACACCGGAATTTGCACACCATCTGCAAGCTCATTTCCGAACCCCTCCACGATCTTTCCTTCCAAAATACTAGCGCGTGTAAACCTCTGCGCCGCATCATCTAACCAAGCGAGACTAAAGTCCCAGGAAATATCAAGAATCCTCAAAGTTTTATTCTCCCTAACAAGTGTGTTTAAAACCCGTAAATACCAGTTGGTCACATGAAGTATATCGACTGCGGGTTGACACAGGCGAAGAATCTCGCATAACATATCTTGGTTTTTGACTTTGGCGATTTGGATCATGGTGAGGACTTTCTGGCTTGAGTGGCGGAGACGACTTTGGTGGTAACTTAGGCCTATTTTTACACATTCTTCTGTTGCGATGCAACGATATATATCCACCAAATCATGTCTGGTGAGAGATCCGATGTCAAGAGCATTACCGGTAGCTAAAGTGAAGTCAAATTCGAAGGGGTGGGCGTTCTCTCTTTCCAAGACGCAGAGATAGAGATAGTTTGGGGTTTCTTGGGAAGAAGACGCTTCTGTTTGTTGGAGATCAGGCCTGAGTCTAGGGTATGTAGACATAATGGTCATTAATAATTCTTAGGGAGATAGGCAGATTTGTTGTTTAGATTTGATTTCCTGTTCGATGATTAAATAAATGGATGAGGTAGTTGATGTTAAAGAATGAGGAGGTGGTAATGGAAAGTTAGGGATACTTTATACATAGATACATGAAGCATTTAGAACAATGTGTATCCATTCACATATGAATTCATGATGCTATGGGAGAGTACATAGATTCAGAGCATAAAACTGACTTTTCGAACATTATTATTCATTACCCATAGACTTAATCGCTTAAGTCTTTGAGGAATCACAGCGACTCTACAGTGACCTTTCCGCTAAATATTTGCATCCACTGCTCTGTACTTTGAAACCCCATCATCGAATGAACATTCACAAACTGTCTTGGATTGATCTAAATATTATGTTGGGAAAATATCAGCTATCACCTGTAAACAAAATGATAGGTTCATAGGAATGTGGCTCTGGAGTGCTCTTGCATGGTATCGTATCCTACCTTCAGAGACTACAGCTGTGCAAAATGGCAAACAGGTCTATTATTCCAGCTATAGTCTGAGAATTTTGTGATGATCTCATTGCATCCATATGATATTATTGCTCAATTTCCGAAGATAGAGGTATCGAAGAATTTTTATCTAGAGCCTCAAGATCATAACAGCCGTATGCTTCGAGACATGTAGAAGTGATAAAAACTGGAAGTATTGCTTCTGTAGGTATTCGTATGTTTGAGCTGATGCCTGAGCATGTCTGTCAACCACTAAACTTATATTCTTGCTTTCGGTCTCCATTTTGCATATGGATGATCCTCCTCTCCGTCTGAAATTAGATGATCTATAGCTCTCGTGTTCAACATGCCAGGGTGAACTTGTGACAAGTCCGTAACACCCATCATCCTCATTGTTGTCTCCAGCTCGTCTTTCAAGACTGTGTGTTGTTAGCATGTCGATCAAGAATGTAACTGCCTTTGAGGTCAAAACTCACTCTCGATATATTTCTCTACGCCCTCGTGGCCCCAACCAAGAGCAAACAAAAAGCCCCGGCCAATTCCTACAGCTTTGGCTCCTAGGCACAATGCTTTAAATATATCAGTTCCTCTCATAATCCCACCATCAATGAAAACTTCCATTCCGTCGAAGACTTCGGGCGCATTCTTCTGCAATTCTAACAAAACCAGTATCGAAGCTGGGCTTGTGTCCAGACTTCTACCACCATGATTACTTATCAAAATCCCATCTATTCTATAATCCAGTGCCATCTTTGCATCGAGCGAAGTTTGTACACCTTTCAGAAGAATAGGAAGCTTGGTACATTTTCGTAGCCAGGCGATATCTGACCATGAAAGTGTAGCATCAATGTAAGCACCCATTATCCTTCCCAACGCACCGCCTTTTTTATCGTTCTTGGCTTTTGCACCACTCATTGGTGTAGACAAACTCTCATCTGCCTTTACTCTTTCATCCGCTTCTCGCTTTCCAGGGACTGGTGCATCAACAGTCACAAATATTGCCTTGACACCGAGCTTTTCCACATCTTGTAGAAGCTTTTCAGATTTATGCCTTTCCTTATCAACGTAAAGCTGGAAAAATATTGGAAGCTCTTTCCTCCCATCGGAACTCTGCGAATGGTCTTCAGACGCGGCCTCAAATATCTCCGCAATTGGAAAACTAGCGTTTGTACTGACGGCCATTGCCGATCCCGCAGATTTCAGCCCACGAGCTAGCTCCCGCTCACCTTGTGGATGTACCAGTTTTGCCATTGCTGCTGGGGAACAAAATACTGGCACTTCTATCTGGTTACCAAGCATTGTAGTCCTCGTGCTAACATTTTTGACATTTCTCAGTATTCTAGGACGAAGACTAATATCTGCATATGTGGAAGAATTTCGGCTTTTGGTTATAAGATCCGTAGCAGCGGAAGAATAAAATGCCCATGTTTTGGGGGTAAGAAATGTCTCCGCAGCAGATACAAAATCGTGCGTGTTTATCAAATTATCAAGAGAAGGCTTAGAGCCAGGGGCTAGAGTCTTTGAAACTTCAGGCGGAGGTTTGATCCATTCTTCCGTTATAGTACAGGAATCAACTGTTCCCAAGACTTTCGAGGCTGGAAGTGAGGATGATATCAGGGAGGGTGCATGGATTTCAGAGTAGGCTTTTGAAGCATCACGGCCAGCATATTGCAGAATTACTGGGTGAGAAGATCAGCGGGAGAAAATGAGCTGGACAAAGAACTTGCTTACTGCTTGCACCTCCAGGGTGTTCGGGGGCAAAATCTGTCAAATCATAAACTGTATCATTTACCACAACCCATAAATCTGAAGGAATGCTGTGCTGCGAAATCTCCTTCACTGATATTCTACGCGGCATTTTGAGATTTATAGATGAGACTTATTTTCTCTTGATGGCCTTCGTCAAAAGCACAACAAAAGGATGTGAAAACAAGAACCACTTAAGAAATAACAATCATTGAAACGAAATATACATATCCAGGTCGTTGAATTTAATGCGAGTCGGAATTGCTGCCGCTCCTGCAGTGATGCAAGCTCGTGTTAATTGAGGCCGAGCTCGGACAACAGTCAATGCTTGATTGGCCAATACGATGGATGTCATTGTCCAATCGATACTTGATATGTCATAGATGGAACCACAGCATTTTACTTCTTGAATCATCATTTGAATATCACTTATGCGATTAATGGTGCGATTACATAGATAAATTAAGAGGGAAAAACAAACATGTCGACTCTGCTTTAATTTTTTCATATTGTATTTTCTACAAAATATTATATCGATACCTTCGTATAGAGGTCTTCATAATTTCGACTTCTCTGCAATCATACATGCTGAATTCGGGAGACTCTCGATGCTATCCCTATCGATCTGGTCCACACTCTGATATCCGGAAACATTCATTAAGATATCGAAGTCGGCTAAGAGAGACTTCATGACATGTCGAACCCCCAGCTCACCCTTGATACTTAATCCCCAAACCCATAATCTTCCGACGAAGACAAATTTTGCCCCAAGAGCTAACGCTTTGAATACATCAGCTGCCCCACGAACTCCGGAGTCGAACATAATATAAGTCTTGTCACCTACAGCTGAAACGAAGCATCAGCATCATTTATAATTTACCGCAGAATATAAAAGATGCAGTTTGAAAAGCACCGGGGATCAACCACTCACCATTAACAATCTTTTCCAATGCATCTAGGCTTGCACAAGCTCCATCGACCTGCCTCCCAGCATGATTGGACACAACGATGCCATCAACGCCAAGCTGAACAGCCTTTCTTGCATCTGCAACATGCTGGATACCCTTCAAACAAAAAGGTTTGCCAGAACTGATTCTTTTCCATTGCTCCATGAGCCAAGGCATTTTCTCCCAGGACCAAGCGCGTCCATGCCAGACATTATCAATCCACATCGCGCCGGCCTCATTTGGTTGCTTTTTTGGATCGATACCGGCTTCTTTCAATCTTTTTTGGAAAACAGGATCAGACAGTCCCAAATCGGCCCCTACGCCATGATAGAAAGCATAATTCGAGTTCGCAGCGTCACGGTGTCTCCAAGCCAATTGCCATGTATCTAACGTCAAGATACAGACTGTAAAGCCACTATCATGTGCTCTTTGTAACAAGCTCAAGGTCAACTCATCATCATGCGGCATATATAATTGAAAAAATCTTGGTCCGGCACCGTTCGCAGCTCCCACATCTTCAATCGAGGTCGATCCTGCTGTTGATAAACAATATGGCAGATTTAATTCTTTTGCAACCTTAGCTACAGGTAATTCAGCTAATGGATTGTAAATCTTGTTGATGCCGATAGGTGCGAATCCGATTGGCGCGCTGACCTTGTGGCCAAAGATTTCCGTCTTCGTATCACGATTGCTTGTATCGACGAGCATTCGAGGGATAATTCGGTGGCGGTAGAATGCCTGTCGGTTCGCGAGGTGAGTGTAAGATTGACCTGCGTTACAGGATGCGTGATACCTATAAACAATATCAGTATCGAGATGATGTGTAGATATGCTCAAGCTCATTTCACCATCCGCCTTTTGTTAATGATTCTTTTGCCAAATCTTCGAGATCTCCTGGGTCTGTGCTAAATGGAGGGACTTCTCCAGTGTTGTCCTTCCAAAACATTTCTCGTTGATAAAGTGCCCATTGTGGAGTGTTTCTACTCTTGATATTGGGATTTTGGGGATCAGACATGATGATAGACAAGATATGAGAAGCAATTGTAGACAGCAATGAAAAGTAACGTGAAATTGGATCAAGATACTCTTGATCAAGAAGGAAATATGATACTTAACTTGAATGTCGCAGCTCATTACACAGTTGTTACTTAACATCTATGATCTCATTGTCGGCATCTTATTCCGGACTCAGAATCTCAGATGTTGTTAGTTCTAAAATAGCTGGAGTTCTACGAATGGCGAATGACAAATATCATTCACGTGACTTCGCACAGATTTTGTGGCTTGAATGTGGCTCTGCTCCCGAGGTCTCTTTGAAAGTCTCAACAACTCATGATATCACGGCGTTGCGAGTATCAGTCAGGCAAAATATGTAAATTTTATGAATGATCGTGTCGTTCTTCGTACTTCATATTCCTGTTCACTTAAACTTCTCACTTCATGGCCTCATGCCTCGGCTTTCTCATGCTCTCCTGCGCAGAGCTTACAATATTTCGCCTTTATTACCATTAGTCCTCCGAGAAACACGCAGTCTTTCATCTGCAATTAATGAATTACGATGGCTACGAGAATATGTTGATAAAACGATGAGCCATCGTGTACCCAATCACAAACGGAGGACTTTGCTAAAACTCTGCCAAAGACGTGCTATAGGGGAACCACTGCAATATATACTTGGCACTCAGCCTTTTGGGGAATTGGAAATTAAATGCCAGCCTGGAGTACTTATACCTAGGTAATACTGACAAAACACCTTCTCTCAGACTCGTATCTAACAATCAAAGGCCAGAAAACAGAGGCATACACAACATACCTAGCAGAACTTCTTATCAAAGCAAAGCGTTCATTCCACGAAACATCAGAAAACCAGCAGAACCCACTGAAGATCATTGATTTTTGTTCCGGAACTGGTTGCATTTCTCTTCTTTTATACTCACTTTTGAATAAAGTATATCCTAGACTCGAGATCGTCGGTCTAGACATCTCCAAAAAAGCGCTTGATTTATCAATTCAAAATGTTCGTTTTAATGCTCTGAACAGATCTGCACAACAAAGTGTTCGTTTTGAATTTGCTGATGTTCTCGAAGACGAGGAAAGGATCCTGGATATATTTCAAGGCGTCTGCGATGTAATTGTGTCCAATCCTCCATATATATCAGAAGATGGATTTGACAAAGAAACGACACGATCAGTTAGAAATTGGGAACCAAAACTTGCACTGGTTCCTGATGCATCGAGGCGGGAAACCATACACTTCAATGGTGATTCTGGAAATAGCTCTCTCTTCGAAGTGGAGGATATCTTTTATCATCGATTGTTGCGATTTCATTCCCTTTTAAAGTCAAAAATTCTTGTAATGGAAATAGGCGACGAGGCACAGGCAAAGAGAGTGGCCCAAATGGCAATTGGCTTTTCAGATAGGATTGAAATATGGAGGGACTGGCCAGATCAACGCGAGTTTGAAAACGAAAGTGCAGAATGTATGTTCCTTGACAATCACAAAATAGTAGTCAAAGGCACTGGAATGGTTAGAGCTGTCGTCTTGCTCTCCAATCAACATTTTGAATTATAAATATACTGGGGTACCATTAATATCATGGTCATCATGCGTGGAAGGCAATGTTTGACAGGTCACAAGATAGTGTTGGCGGTCTAATACCGAGACATTCCAGAAGCAATCTAGAAGATCTCTGGAATAATGTTCTATTGAGCGCCCCTTTTGCATTAGCCGAGTTCCCCAATTCAACCTTTTCAAAGCTTCCAGAAAACTAGCCAGAGCATTCTAAGACAGCAGCTCCACGCCTAATTCAACCGCGCATATTTTACGTCAATTCTCAGCCCGGGTAATGAAGAATTATGAGACTGGCTTCAAGTGGTTGCCATCATTTGAAAGGGAACATGTTTGTATGCAAGATCTAGTTGTTTTTTTGTCAGTTCAGACTTGGCAAGCTCGTATGGCATTTCACTTTGAAACTGCCATGAACATTCTTTCAATGACCCCTTGAATCTTATTTGCTTTGGAAAGACAGAAGCATTTTACACAATTGTTTGATAATGAATTTGGTTTCTCATATCTTAGTCCATCTAGTGTTCAAAAAGGTTCTTGCTAATTGTTCATTCATCGAGGTGCTTCTTATTACAATAAATTTTTCTTCTCTCTTCAATTATTCAATTCAACTTCCAAAGTATCACAAGTTTAAATGTATACTCAATTCTTTTTCGTACTCATTCAATTTCTGGGGTCTGTCACCTCTCGGCCAAATGCCGTAGGACAAGGCTACAGGCCAGCTGCGTTTCAAGGCCCTTCAACCCCTAAAAATGTCAATACTTTCTTCGCATTGACTGCCGGTATCAATCGTCGGAAGGGTGACCTTCCAGGCATTGCCCCGGCCAATCCGCTTCAGAAGGTGAAGAGATTCCATGCCCAAAGATACTTCATGTCTGACGCCAATAGGGACACGATTGGTACACCGAATTAGAAGTGGAAGGACAGAAATGTCCTGTCGTTATAGACACAGGCAGTAGCGATACATGGATCGTCAAACCCAACTTTACATGTTTAGATCATGGTACCGGAGCACCAACTTCACAAAGTGCATGCTTGTTTGGTCCAGGGTATGCCCCCGACTCAGGCTTCAAGCCAATCCCGAACCAACATTTCAATACTACATATGCAAGTGGGGAGAATCTAAAAGGAACATTTGGTTTCGTGGATGTAACTTTGGGTGGGATTTCGTGAGTTTTCTGATCCTCTTCATAATTCAACCGCTCACTCAGCAGTGTCAATACTCAGATTGCGACTGTTGATACAGCTGCATGGCTTGGTGATGGAACCACGAGTGGCTTGTTGGGTCTTGCATATCCATCTATGTTAGTCGCTTCTTCCCTTAGATTTGAGCTTTCCTGATTTTATTCTAGCACCGCGGCGTTCAATGGCACCACTTTTGAAAATGACAATGCGGAAACTCAGCGTAAGTGAAACTACTGTACTTGTTTCCGCGGGACTAATGACATGCAGTTCCATATGACCCTATCTTCACGACCATGCACAAAAAGCACCTCATACCCCCAATTTTCAGTCTCGCCTTGAGCAGACCCTCAAATCGCATTGGCCACGGCAATGGATATTTAGCCTTAGGCGGCTTGCCTCCCATTGCCTCCTATGGAGCTTAGGCTGTGGCGCCAATTCAAATTGTCGCCATAGGAGAAGGTTACATACAAGGAGCTCTTCCATGGCCACAGCATCGTTCGTCCGCCCCCATAAGCATCAATCATCTGTTGACACTGTACTAACCTCTTCTTAGAAGTCTACACACTCACACCAGACAATTTCATTTACCCTGGTAGTCAACGTCAAAAATGGAATCCCAAACACTGGTCCCTACTTTCCATGCCCAGCAGCAGTTCTCAAGTCCAACTCTTTATCGACTCAGGCACTACCCTTATTTTCCTCCCCAACTCCATCTCTTCCGCTCTCGCAGCACTATACAAGCCGCCTGCCGTTTACAATGCAGATCTATTCGCTTACTCTGTGCCATGTAATGCTAAAGTGCCGTATTTTGCTGTCGTTATTAGCGGCGTGTCGTTTCCTGTCGATCCAAGGGATATGGTACAGGATGATAATACGGGTACGGGTAACTGCGTGGCGGGCGTGAGTGATGGAGATCCTTTTGGCTTTTATACGCTTGGAGATGCGTTTTTGAAGAATGTAGTGGTGGTTTTTGATGTGGGGGCTTCCCAGTTGAAGTTTAGGAGTAGGGGTTTCTACTGATTTATATAACTTTGTGGCCCCTCGATCATGCTACTTCCTATCTCTGCGTTAAAATTTACTGCTTTTTCCCCTGCTCTTTGATGGTACTGTCGGTCTTTGAAGCTTATCTGACGTCTGGCCAAATTTCGGGAGCAAAAAGTGGTATGGCGTGGACATTTCACATTTTTAACGGAGTTCTGATGTTCTAAATTTCGTGCTAAAATCTTTTTTGTCATGGCTATAATGTCTAGCGTTTGGTATTATCTGTTAAAACCTTGCTCATGCTATTGCCTGCTGTACATAAACGACGCATGGGCCCAAAATACTTAGATGTTTTTTGGACTGTCGAATTTTCTGTCACTCGTCCGATATTCTTGCCATCTCTGTCTTCGGCTCAAACGGTGGGCTTTGTTGAATTTCTAGACGAAATCCCAATTTTTTTCGCCTAAACGTGCGCTTCTATTGAATCATTGCCGCAAAAGTTGTTAGATGTACGTCTTCATAATGCCTAATGGCTCCCGTCCAAAATTTCGATAACAATCTTGGGTTTGCATAGCACATAAACTTATTGTTGCCGGATCGGTTCCTGGGAAGCTTTGTCTTGCACATCTGCAAAAGTTCCATTGACTCTTGTCGTCTGAAGTTGTATTTCTCATCAATTTTGTCTGTCACAGTAGCACTACTTCACTAGATAAGAATTCTTTGATCATACGTCTTCAAACCTTAGTAGCTTTTCATCTGAACTTTCAATCCGTCAAGTGTGTCTTCAGTCGTATCGCAACGTTTACATTTTTTGTTGAAGAGGTTCTGGATGTTTTTTGCAATAATGCTGGCGGTTTTTATTTGAAGGTTTGTAACGTTTGAATGCTAGGCGTTCGATGGTATATAGTCAGTGATGGTCTCTGTCGGATCACACCAGATTTTGGCATGCAGATTACCAGCTTCCCTAGCGAGAATGCCCGCTGGCCCCGAGTGGAGCAGAATGTTTCCCACTTTTGCTCCAGTGATTCATGGTTAGAAGAATGTTCGTGGATATTTAATGTCTTCTAAACATGTATGCGTCTTTATTTTGCTCTCTGGATCGGCTTCATTGTAAGGTTTTGTAATAATACGATGACAGCTTCGCGTGTTTTTTCCTTGATAGTCGACCATTTTGAAGTAGAACTTTCAAATGAACCAGTCAGCGTATGTTTTTTTGATAAAATTTCATTCGGCCATCATCTGCTCAACAGGTATGGAGAGAATTGAGAGTGGGAGTATGACCGTCTCTGTTACTTCTTGCATTGAAGATGCTAATTTATCCTTCCACGCCCTGGGTCATAATGAAACCGCCACTGCATTCTCCCGATGAGAATCTGGAACACAGCCATGGTTCTTACTCCTTGATTTTAGAATCGTATCCTCCAAGGCGTCACATGGAAGCTTGCTTCAGAGCGGGACGAACCGTTCACATATCGTTGTGGGGGGGGCATCATGAAGAATGAATGGCCGGGCAAGAAGTTCTCTGCCTTGTCGATTTCCAACGAATACAGCCGCATCAAGCAGCTCTCGTTCTTGATGCAATAATCTCGTAGTTAATCTTGATCCACTGAGCCCCCAAGTCTTGAAGGAGATAAATTGCTGCTGATCTTTGTATTATTCCTGCACTCGCTCGCCTTTGGACCCGTTTCTTGTCAACATAAAGACCCTCTTTTCTCAGCCATTGAGACCCCGGTAATCCATCGATCAAGGCGGCATAGAAACTTGTTCAGAAGTCACTGTTACCAAGGTGAGAAAGACAGTCCTTCAGGTTCCACGTTTCCGGCGAGAGCATGAAATGAATTTGGCCCCATGCTACGATCGGCAAGATTGGGGTCAAGTAAGATTTGTCACTTGCCTTGGAGACCCACATTCACCGGGAGAGGGCATTTGTTGATCATAATTCTCTCTACTATGACGGTGTTCCGATTTGCCATGCACAACATCAGACCATAATTCGATCAAACAGGATTTTGATTCTAGCCAACTTTCATTTTAATGTTGCGACTATGGTTTCTTTCCGGGGCCTCTAGCTCCACCCAATTTTATCTTCAAAACATACCCATTACTAATAATCTTCTCTACTCTATTCCTACTTACTACATCAAGTTTTTTGGTTGTACTGAGAGCCTCTGGAGTATTCGATTTCAACGTCGTCTGCATTCATCCGTCTACATATATCACACAATACATGTACAAAATTCCAAATATAAACTGTCTTTATGTTACTTCACCTCACTGTGCGTCAGTATTCAGCTGAAGAGTGGCTCAAAAAAGTCGTGATATATACAAGGTCACAATTGAGGCTGTGTTGTAGTATTGTATTTCGAGAATCAAATTCAATAGTCCAGTCCGATTGTAGCTCGGCGAAGCGAACATGGTATTGTTATCTGCATTGCAGCCGTACAGCTGGCAGGAAACCGTTGGGGGCGAAATGCGGGGGAAGGGAGATATGGGGATGGGCCGGAAAAGATGATGAGCTGGCTGATAAGTTCTGGTTGTTACACGGAAACGAGAACTTCGTATGTAGTTGACAGATGTATACATTAAGATATGCGGAGAGCTGTGTTGGGGTGAAGATTGGTTGATTAAAAGTACCTAGCATCTGTATCTAAGCTCCAGTTGCGCTTTACAAAGAAACCTTGAAACGGCCTGAACTTGGTCGGGAGCAAAGATAACTGGACCCGTTGAAGACGTCAAGAAAAATTTAGGCTGCAGCATTCTCTGATTCTTCGCTATTGATGGTTGCAACTTTGCAAAAATCAAATGTTCACTGCATGCATATTGACATCAAGATGAAAACCTTGAAACACGCTTGAAGGATTCTTCCTTTACGACTTCGAAAAGGGGTCTGCGTTCAAAGGCGCGCGTGGATATAGCTGGACGATGGGATGAAAAACGATGTCGGCGTAAACACGTGAGAAGTCTGCATCTGATCGATACGAAGATGGCTTTCTTGGAGGAATTAGATAAGATATGCTGTTTTGACTGCCGCCTGGAAACTGAGGTTGGAATCTGGAAATTTGGAAAGGAAATAAGGTGTTGTTGGAAGGGGGTGAGGGGAATGAGAACCCCCAGAAACCTATATTGAATTGAAACATGCCGAATAGGAAACGGATATTTTGCTTCCGCCGCTGCTATCATTCATTTTTGTTTGTCCCTATCATTTTTTTTTTTTGTTTTTTTTGCGCAATTATAAACTTTCCAATTGTTTGGATAATTCGGTTGAGCCCGTACCGAACGGATATGTTGGGCGCCGGCTGGCTGCCCCTTCATCTAGTCGTCAAAAAGCAATATGGGTTAAATTCCATGTGTGTGGGTGGGTATCTCTTGTGAAGAAAATGTGATAGACATGCTTGCTAGATGCAGTCATCCGCATTTCTGGACTGTGGTGGACAAATCACAAGACTTTTTATTTCAGCGTTTAATATCAATGGAGTCCAGAATGAAAAATCAGCAAACGAATTAGTGGTCGGCATATGGCGGTTCATAGAAGTCGTCCAAAAGAAGAATCGTGTGCAGAATATCTTCAATTGTGTGGCTTGAATTAACATTCATAGTACCTAGGTATCGATGTACAGTACCCTTTTCACGAAAGAACCTTGGGAACATGTACTTGCCGCTCATCAGAACCCTTGAATGAATCAAGTTTTAGTTTGCTTGATCTCAAAAATGCCTCCCGACTCAGAAGTTCGCGCTTGGGTGTAGGTCAATACCAGGCCAGGCCTGCCACGGTACTGTAATTCGATCTGTTGTACCTCCACGCGCTCCTCGTAACTGACATATTGGCTACCTCGTTGTCACAACCTTTGACTCGAATCCTCGTTCTTCTTGCATGTCAAACCGTCGAGAATTGCATTAAACCTGCAGGTAAAACCATATCACATCCAAAAACATAATATCGGTCCTTCTGTCCCGGAGTTTCTCGACCAAGCATTTTGTTTTTTTCGGCATTTAGGGTTTCTTGATTGATTTCGTTATGAATTACTTAGCTGAGACATTTCGATATATTTCTTCGGATCAATTGGATGCCATCCTTGGACGAGAACCTGAAAGTTCCTGTACTCTTGTTTAAGGTCTGGGGTAGCAATCCCTCCGTGCCACCCTTGATGAGATGATTGAAGGGATGACGGAGCGCCCGATAAAGGAATCAAGCAGGGCATAAACGATAAAATTGCATATTTTTTGAATTATTAAGTAGCCAAAGAAAAAGTTAGTATCGAACAGCCTAAATATACGCGTGATGATCTCCTGTACTTGGTGAATCCAATTGTAGAAGACAGACACACGTTTTCTCCAGGTTCCAGAATGCTTCCACGGCATCACAATGAAGCATTGCATTTGCATTTGAAGGAGTAGGAGCAGTGCAATGTTGGATTGGCAGTATGTGTAGTTTTTTGTGGATTACAACGTCCAATTCACGGGACGGGGAACTTTCTGCTTTGTTGCATCGTGGGATAAGGCTGGTCGGCAAGGCTACTCGAGCGTGGTGAAAGTAGTGTTTCTCTTCTACAACAGCGTTCCATTCATTAGGCTTTAGGGCAGAGTAAATTTCCGGAGGCGATAAATGTCGTCGGAGGCTTAATTCGCGGTATCAATGATAGCTGAAGGTGTCTTAGTTATTGAACGGTTCTTGATTTGAGCGTCTATTCAAACTTATGACAGGCCTCACGACAAGCATCGAAAGCCTATAATCTTAATGTGTTTCATTTTAGAATTTTCTTTAACGTTTAAGGCTTTCTACAGATGGTTGCAATACATACATTATCTACAAGCGTTTATTTGACGGAGCTAGTGCAAACATTTATGCGAGCTTGAAGAAATCCGAAAACCCTCCTAGTCTTCTTAGCCCTCTGTAGATATCTTGAAAGGATTGATGAAGTTTGACGAGCCACCACCTACAAACAGAAGCACATGCTATCATGGTAACACTCCCGGTAATAGTATCTAGATGCCTAGGTATCTATCACTTTCGGAGATACCTACTCGACAGCTACCGAATA